TTTGACTGAAGAGGTGTCCCTTGAGGGGTAGAAAGCAACGCAGATCGCACACGAATGTTTACCAAAGCCGAGTGGCTCAAAAGTACAAATTTAACGACTTTTGTCGCAACATTTTTTCGAACAAAATCATTTGAAAAAATTAGTTTCGGTACACTTAAAGACTATGCATACTAGGACGATGGGGAACCTGGAGAAAGAGATGGCAGCAAAGCTGTGGTGGAAGCAATGGCTGGAAAACGCCCTCTGATATATGATGAACACAATCTTAGCGAGAAGGCTCACAGAAATCACTCTTTTCCCTTCAAAAGCAATTTGCTTAGGGAAATTTACAGGCATTTTGAGATTTCATTCGGCACAAGAACCACGAAATCTGATCTTCTTTAAAAGATAACTGAAATGGTTGTAGAGTGCTGTTGTGCAGTGAAAAAGATTGTTGCAAAAGACACGAGAAGAAGGAAAACGACTCTAAATCGGTCAGTTTGTACCCTGCCTATTATTTCTCATTTTTCCTCCGCGGGCTCACTGTGAATTCACTGCTGTTCAGGAAAATCGCCAGCTTAATATGTGCATTCAAGAGAGAATGAGCTAGATCATTCTCTCTTGATGCATTTCTGCAAAAACGGTACAAGAACGCCTGCGTGGGAGGCTAAGCTCTCTCGCGCGCGAAAGAAAATGTGGTAACCTGTAGATACGAAAAAATTTGGTAATCACGTGACCGTACGTACGTCTGTTCACCCCTACTATCACTGCACTGGCGCCAAAAACAGATAAAGAGCTAGAACGAAAGACAAAACAAACACAAAGGAAAGGAGACGAAGTTACTCGAGGAAGAAAAAACATAAAAAATTCAAAGCTGTGATGCGAAAATAGGAAATGCTAGCGGGCAGCGAGGTTCATATGAGCGACGGGGAATGTTTGCTTGCTACCACTAGACTGTTCACTGTCCCTTATCTTTCCGTAAAATCGTCCAGATGTGCGGCCTTCTTGGGTCCGCTGCCCCAAAAGTAGATTTCATAGTTATCCACGGTCGGGCTAAACCCGGTACATTTGAAAGCAAGATGGCCACCTGTTAGAGAATGTGCTTGATCCCGACGATTTTACAGAAAAATAGAGGACTGTGAACAGTCTAGTGGGCCTCCTGACAGCAAGCACACTCCACCTCCATCCCCAGCCCCAGCCTGAGTCGGGGAGCCTGATAAGACCTGAAACACAGGTACTCGTCGGTTTAATCATCTACGGGCGACCAGAATTCTGAGATATATTTTAAAAAATAATAAATTCAAACATAAACGACAAACATAATACAAAACAAAGGTCGCCAAAGTTTATATAGAATAACAGCGTTGGATTACAAATAAATAAAAAAAGGGAACTAAATTAAGTGGCTTAGGCGCGCTTCGAACCCCGAAGTGCTAGCTCCGAAATCCATCACCTGTACCACTCCACCACGGAGGATTTAACTATTGTAACGAAATTTTATTTTGTCGCACATATTTTTAGTGGCAAACCTAACAGTAAATGCTTGCTAACAGAGCTTAACCCTAATCACGACAGTCAGTGCGCTTACTCCTATATTAGGAAATATTTTGTGTAAACATAATGAGGTGTCCAATGTGGTTCTGGACGATGGAATCTAATGTTGACCATAAATAACACGTTTTCACGAAGAAAGACATATCGCATTTACCTCAGACTTTTGCAATATTCATTAACGTCTTCCGCATCCCCGTCCCACACGTCCCCGCGTCCCATACTTGATGTCCCCAAGTCCCTCGTCTCGCGTCCCCAAGTCACAAGTCCTCACAGACGCGTCCCAATGCCCCCGCTCCCTCGTCTCCGCCCCAGTTTTATACACAGCCGTAAACAGGTACACCTGTAGTATTAATGCGTTCGGCTTAAAGGGTTTCCTTTCCAAAATGATGTTCCATTGTGTTAAAAGTCACCAAATGTTTATACATTTCATGGGTTATTATATGTTATTGCGGCTTTGCATTAAGACCTTCCATCGTGTATTGTAAACAGTCATAACAGAAAATAGGCATATTTCGTCGATCGGCTGTACTGATAAATCGCTTAAATCACAACATATTTTTACGTTTCCATGTTTTTGGACTTTTCTTTTGTTGGTCTGAAAAGATATTTTGTTTAGACGATGTGGGGATTTTTCACGGTGCTAGGATGAAAATATGCATTTGAGCACCTTTCCCGCCTACGGCAAAGTGGGTGTAAATCAAAACCGTTTTGGTAGATATGAGTTGCTTTTGAAGGACCAAAATTGTGTGCTTTACATCATTTAAGGACCAATTTAATCCTAGGAAGTGAAAAAAATCGTTGAAAGTGCAAAACTTTGAAGTGGTGAACTCGGCAATATGCACTACTTTTACCCTTTTTCCTCCCGAAAAATTTTATTTTGAAATATTTTCAATAGACTGCAAAACAGTTGGTTTTTTTCTCAAAATCAGTAAAGAAATCGGTAAAGCGTGGCGTAAGAGTCTTACGCGCGCGAAGCGCGCGAGCCTCACACGCCCGTAGGGCGTGTGAGGCGAGAGGAAAAAAACCGACTGTCCGTTTTCCATACAATGAGTTCGTTCCGACCAGTGGGTTCAAAAATGTCGTCGAGCTGTCAAAAATCTGTTCGCAACTCCGCCCTCTTTGTGAATTTGATAGACTCGCGTGTTATTATTGACGCTGTAATCCAGTAATTCTAAAGCAGTTTTTAGCGTTGCTTCCCTGTGAAATGTAGTGTATATAGTGAAATGTAGTATATATAGTGGAGGATCAAAAATGAGTGAAAGTGGCAGTACGACAACAAAGCCTGTGCCTGCTCCTCGAAGAGGGAGAAAGCCGAAAGAGCCGAGGGCTTTGGACAAATTGTAGAATGTGCGGCTGTTGTTTCAAAACACAGTTCGGCAATTTTACGAATGGATGGATAAGCTCGGAAAATGCGTTTGTTGCGCCTACCAGAAAAAGGGAAACGTTACCAAAGTGGGCCGACCTACTGAAAAACGAACTTTTCGTTGTCCTCGAGGAAGGAGAATCTTTCTCCACAAGAGCAGTTTGCTCTCTGTGCGGAACAACGGTTAGAAATTGCCCAGGGAAACTGCACGGCGTTTCTTTCGCAAATTAGAGAAGAACTGAACACGCCAACTGACAATGAACAATTATTGCGATTGAAAAGAATGAGTAAATCCCCTCATTCCAAACCACGTCTTGGTGATTTAGCTCTGTAAATTACTATCTGTGAGAATTTAAAATCCTGCCAAAAACGCTAACAAGCTGGGCCCAGCGTGACAAAACATTGCAGGAAAAAGTCACATTCACGGACACAAAGAAAATCGCTTAAAATTATACAAATCCAGGTGGCACTTTGGAGAAATGAAATAACCTAAAACCCTTAATCAGCCGCAATGAAGAGCTTTACATTTCTAAAGGGGCCAAGAAAGAAAATGCTCTTGCGTCAGAGGGCAAATCATGCCTACCAGAGAAAAACAATATGCGTGTCACGACCCGAGTCAGTATGAAATATATTTAACTGAAGCGGCCAAAATTCACATTTGCTCAGTCAAAACGTTTTCCTCCAAAGCATAATCTACTAGACAGAGAAAACAATTCATTGGAACAAGCGGCATGTTTGCATGAAATAAAAGTCGTGTGTTTCCTACCGATCCCGCTTTTTTAGCCAGGAGAGATAACAATGACGGTCGGCCGTTGCACGAAACTTGAAGAACTCTTTGCATGAACAAACATCCGATAAATAAGGCTTTTGTCAAATCCTCTTGGTAGACCACAGAAAACATCCTTTCCCCTGAGTAGCAACTCCAAGGCTTCCCTCTGCCCCGATTTTAAAACAAATCCCAATTCTTGCGAGCAACTCCAGGCGATCAACATCTGTCATTTTACAGCGAAAGCTTTAGCAATTGAATGACATGTTGAAAACATTACTTGACAGCTTGGTGACAGCTTGCATCGAAATTTAGCCAATGGGAATTGCCCGTGGCTGGGAGAAGCGGGTAATTCGAACGAATATAACGTATGGAAAACGGACAGTCCGTATTTTTAGCGTCTCTCCCCAGTCTCGCTGTCTGTTTTCAGCCTCATTCCAGACCTTTTGTTTGACTGCTCCCGCGTACTTGAATACGCAAAAATACGGACTGTTTTGCAGTCTATATTTTCAAAAACTAATGCGGTTTCAATTACTTTTGGACTAAGATATATTCATGGGCAAAGTTTAACAGAAATTGATTCTCCGACCCGAAACGCAGTGGACCGGTTGTAGGGAGACTCTCTCTTAAGTGCATCTGTACAGAAACAAACCGCAGGATATAATTGTCCAGTATGCATGACTGACCCTCTTAATGTTAGACTCAGAGCGGCAGTTAATTTAAAAGAAGGAAAACATCTGATGTTTATTGAAAGCTAATTCAAAGGTCACGTTTCACTCTATCGCGAGCTTATGATTCGCGTCTAGCCTTTCAACACTTTATTTCACAATTCAGTCCAGCTGTAGTTAATTAGCTGTGGTCACACTACAGACTTTTACCTAGGTAAAACCGATTTACCTAGGGCAAATTCAATTAAAATTTCCCGAGGTAAATTCATCTCGGGTTTCATTTTACCTAGGTAAAAAGTTTTGGGAAGGTCACACTACCGAAATAGACTCCCAAGGTTGTCACGCAAAGCAAGGGTTATATTTCATTCGCGCAATTGAATTTTTGGCGCGTAAATTAAAGAAGGCAAGATGCTCGGGGATCTAGCCGATCAAAGAGCCGTTTTTCTTTTAATCTCGCTTTTATTTTTTACGCTCATTCAACGAGCAAGGCGAGGTAAAATACTTTTGTTACGAAGAATGATTTCCATGCGATTACAGGAGAGCATCATTGCTTCAAGTCTTCTTCGGTTTGTGTTGGCAACATCATCATCGTGCCAATCGTATCGCCTGCGTTCTTCCAAGGCCACAATTCTGGTTTGAGAATCTGCTGAGCTCACACGCTCTGAACACTTGGTGGAAAGAAAATTTTCGAGTTTCAAGGTTGACGTTTGACTATATATGCAGAGCTGTTGGTCCTGTTATCCGGCGGCAGGACACTATTTTACGAGCAGCCATACCAGTAGAAACAAGAGCAGCGGTAGGATTGTGGAGGTTAGCGACCGGAGATAGTTACCGTTCGTGTGGTTTGATGTTTCGAATTGGAAAATCTACTGCGATTGGAGTGTGCCAAGATTTTGTGCAGGCTCTATGCCAACTTAAGGATGAATTCATTAAATTTCCAAACACGACAGCTGCTGTGAGAGAAAAAATCGAAGGTTTCAAAGAAAAATCTGATTTCCCTAACGTAGTTGGCGCTATCGACGGTAGTCACATTCCTATCAAAGCACCAATGATAAATCATGAAGACTACTTCAATCGGAAACGATATTACAGCTTCGTAGTCCAAGGAATTGTCGATGCGTCTGGTGCTTATTTGTCTGTATCTACAGGCTTTCCTGGTAGCATGCATGACGCGCGTATATTACGACTAAGTAATTTCTACTCACTGGCAGAGGATAAGCAAATTTTGACGACGCCCTGTATAGACTACGAGTAGTCCCCCATTTTTCCTCAGGGATAGTAGAGTGTGCGAAACGCGAGCGCGCGTGAAAATCACCCCACGCGAGAAAAGGCGACTTTCTCTCTCCCCGCCGCGTGTCGCCTTTTCTCGCGTGGGGTGATTTTCACGCGCGCTCGCGTTTCGCTCACTCTACTATCCCTGAGGAAAAATGAGGGACTACTCGTAGTCTACGCCCTGTATGGATTTGAACGGAACACAGATTCGACCCCTGATTTTAGGCGACTCTGCTTATCCACTGAAGTCATGGCTTATGCGCCCCTTCCAAGACAACGGAGCCTTGACCCCTGCCCAGCGACACTTTAACAAGGAACTTAACCAAGGTCGAATAGTGGTTGAACATGGGTTTGGTCAGACTAAAGGGAGATGGCGATGTTTAGACAAGAGAATCGATGAGGATACAAGGAGAATTCCTCATACGATTATTGCGTGTTGTGTATTACACAACATTTGTATTTTGCTTCACGATGATTTTGATGTACCCCGTTTGAGCGTCTGTCGTGAGCAGCAGAATGTTGGAGAAGACGAAGTTGGACCCCAAGACATTAGACAGGCAATTGTCGATTACCTTTTTTAATTTTGTATACAAGTACAGGAGTATTACAGCAATGATAAAAAGACTTTGCTTCTTTGAAACGTTTTGAATTTCTAAAAGTCTCAGTTTCGTTTATCAGAAGTCATATATTTGAACAGTTTTAATCCGTCGAATTAATAAAAAAATGCGATGAGTCAATTAAAACTTTCAATTGGTTACAAATAACGAGCCACAGAGGCTAGTTATCTCATTGCAGCTTTTAAAAGAACAACAACAATAAAGGAAGACACGACTAAAAACATCAGGGATTTATGTTTCTAGTCTTTTTTGAAAATGTTTCCCAGTTCTTTCAACGCTGCCAGGGTAAATTCTTGATGCCGTTTTTCAGCTTCTACTTCAAACTTCATGAGTTGCTGCATAGCCAACCTATCCTGCTCCTCCGCTTTCATCATCATTTCCTGTTGTGATTTTAGCAGAGTGATAAGGCTCTCGTGTTCGTCGCTTTTTCTGCGCTTCTCTCCCCGCTTTTTTCTAATTGCAACGGCGTCCTCCCCCTGTTTATTTTCGGCTGCTTTCCGCTTTCCTTTCGCTGCATCAGGAGCTGATGTCTCTGCATCGCTATCAGGGCCCGTCTCAAAAGAGCTGCAACTGGCTGATGTGCTAGCGCTAGGTGAGGGACTTGACTCTGTTCCGCTCGAAATGTCCCTCTGGATAGCTGTTTCAGAAACAAATCTGGGATTCACCTTGTCGCTGAATCCTAGAAAGGAATCCATGACATCGAAGAATTCGAATTTTTCTCGGCCTCTTCCAGTTGCTTTGTTGTTATCGTTGATGCTCTTATACTTGTCGAAAAGAGTCTTCCATTTTTCTTTCAACTGGCCCAAGGACTTTCCGGTTGTAATGTTGTAATCTTCGCATGCTTTTGTAAATTTAGCGTAGATCGCCTCCCAGATTTTATTCTTTGCTTGGGGGTTCTTTGCTTTACTCAAAGCATCAGCGTGATCTTGATAAGAAAGAATGAGGGTTTTTGTCTCGCTACTTGACCTACGATTGCTATTTGTGCGAGAAGTCGTTGGCGTTTCAGTGGCTGTGCTTTCATGGCTGCCTAGCTGATACTCTTGCGGATAATTGTGTAAAGTGTAAATGAAAAGGCGCCGTAGTCTTCCACGGCCTGGTTTATAGGACCAGTTGTTGGAGGTAAATATGAGGTTGACTGCGCATGCCTTGCGTCCATCTCGCGCCGATTGTTGAACAGATATCCATTATAAAATGTTGGTTCTGAATCTTGAGAATAGAGAGAGTTTCCAATTCTGTAATTAAAAAAAATTCTTCGTTAAGTAAAAACCAACATCAACAATTCTAAACGGCGACGAGAAATTGAATTTCAAATCTCAAAAGATACTTGCAATCTTGCTCGGAACTGCGACATCACGGGTTTGAGCTAAAATGTCCTTCGTAGGTGGCACGCGTGCCCCCGAAATTTCTTTCACGACGTGAGCTATGTCCGGTTCTGTCATCAAGACCTTCGCCGATGAGCGTCTATTGGTTGGCAACCTCGGTATTTCTTTTTTCCCTAGCTATCGCTTTGGGGTAGCTGTCAAGGGAAACTCTATTGTTCTCGAGACATATCCCAGCTCCAGACGATAAAATTTCCCCGAGGTAAGTTACCTAGGGAAAAATCGGTCACTCTTAAAAAATTAAGTTTCCCTAGGTAAACTGTCAACAAGTCGACTTTACCTGGGTAAAAACTCTGTAGTGTGACCACAGCTAATGTTACAGTTACGCGGTCGGCGGTCAGTTAAGGGCGGAAAGAGCTCTGTAAGGGGATGTTTACAGGCGTTCCCTTTCCCACTTTAGTCTCTCCTGGTTTTTTTTTCTTCGTGAATTTTTCTCCCGCGCTCTGAACGCCTGGAACAGGGTAGTCCATCAGCCAGATGTCTCCTGTTCACTCCCTTGGCCAATTCAATCGCTCCTTAAGGATATCCAATAGATCACTTGCGCGTTAATAGAACCAAGCGTGTTAATAGAACCAAGCTCCTCGGGATTCATTTTAGTGAACATTTATATTGGGAAGAGCATGTGCACAAGTTATCAGTCCTGCTACAGTGTGCTTGGTATTTTACGGAAAATTAAAAAATTAAAAAACTATCTCACATTAACCCTAGCGAAACTCAAGTTGAGCCGGCCTGTCCGGTTAGGAACTGGATGGATACCCCGCTGCGAATATTGCCGTGAACGTGCGTACTTTGTTCTTTCCTTTGTTCTTCTTCTTTCCGTATTGTCTAAACTGAAATGCACTTTGGAGAAACATAACGTAAAACAAGCTCGTCTGCGAAGTGAGACGTACCGACAATTGCTCTTTTATCTCCATTTTCGATCGCTTGTATTTTGAAGCTGCTGGCCCAAATTGCTTCAATGGTTTCTGTAAAATACTTCTGTAATCAGTATTTCTAGCCAGGATCATTTCTTGATCGCCAGAACGGGCGCAAAAACAGAAAACTAGGCACCTCGACGTCACAAATCGATGACTTCACTGCGACTACCAACCCGACTACTCTCCGTTTTATTAGAAAATGCAACCGCTCAACTTGCAAGTTATTTTGACTCTATAAACTATTTTAACGATTTAAGCCAGTAGAATGTATAGAATGCCAGAGAAAAAAAAAACAAGCGGAAAGTCGAACGTACGGTTTCGAATTGCTCTCGAAGTTGTTTTGTCAGAGTGCAAATAATAATAATAACAATCTTTTAATAGGATGCTCCATCACAAGAGTGGTTTACATAGAGGTCCTAATTACGAGATGTATATTATATAATACAATTAAAATATAAAAAGGTTAAGCTAAAATCGATATATATGATACAAACAAAAAAAAAACAAAACAAAAAAAAAAAAAAATTCAAGCTAAAATCGAGTTACAGAAATAATTAAAACATACACACTACAAGTACTCAATTATAAAAAGCAGAAAAAAGACACTTCTTAAAAATTGGAAAACTTGCTGAGTTTCTTACAGTTCTCTCTAATTCATTAAAGTCTTTGAAACAGTGGTACCGCGAACGTTGTTTTCCCCAATTATATTTAATTTTGGGGAGCTTGATAGTATCGTTATTGCGCGTATTGTAGGAATGTATATCACTCTTTCTTACAATGTCCAAAGAATGATTAAGTTGGCCATTAATACACTTGTATGCATATATACATCGATGACATTTCCTACGTTCTTCAAGATTCAGCCATCTCAAGACAGTCAATGCATCGGTGGATGAGGAGTGAGGTGATCTATCTGATATCAACTTAGCTGCTTTGTTTTGGAGAATTTGCAATTCCTTCATAAGTGAGACATTGTCCTTGTCACCCCAGACTAAATCAGCATAATCAAAAATAGGTAGCACTAAGCTATTATAAAAAAGTAACCGGGCATCATAAGGTAAATAATACTTAATCCTACGTAGAAGACCAAGGTTTTATTAACCTTACATGAAATATACTCAATATGGTCGGACCATGTGAAAGTTGAAGACAACATAACTCCCAAATATTTAAAACTACTTACAGAATTTATATCAGTGTCAAAAATAGATAACGTGAAAGAGGAAATACCAACAAGTTTCCTATTACTGCCTATAATCATGGATTTCGTCTTAGTAAGATTTAAAGTTAACTTATTTCCATGTAACCACTGGGCAACTTTCAAGAGATCATCATTCAGTGCCTCTTCTAACAGGTGTGGCTCTTTAGCAAAGTAGTACAGGACCGTGTCATCAGCATACAAAGTCACTTCGCAATTCTTTATAACCAGCGGAAGGTCATTAATATAAACCAAGAAGAGAAGCGGTCCTAGAATGCTCCCCTGTGGCACCCCAAAGGTCATCGGGAGAGGGTCAGACACAGCATCGCTACAGGCAGTCCGCTGTTTACGATGATTCAGGTAAGACTTGAACCACTGTAGAGTGCTGGGCGAGACATTGATAGCCGACAATTTAGATAGCAAGATCGTATGGTCAACGGTATCGAATGCCTTGGTCAGATCTAGGAACACTGCACCGCACAGTTCTCCACTCTCCATATGCAATAGGACCTCATCTGCAAAACTGGTGAGAGCCGATGTTGTAGACAGTTTGGGACGGAAGCCAAATTGTTTGCTTGAAAGGAGATTATTTGAATTCAGAAAGTCATAGAATTGGGAATGGACGACTTTTTCCAGGATTTTACTCATTGTTGGCAGAATAGAAATTGGGCGATAATTTGACGCATCTCTCCTATCTCCAGTTTTGAAAAGTGCAGCCACTTTCGAGCATTTCCATATTTCAGGAAAATTGCCAGTGCGAATAGAGAGATTCAGTAACTTGGTGATCGAGGGACAAATAGCACGCGCGCCACACTTTAAAAGTCTCGCACTGATGTTGTCCAAGCCAATAGCTTTATTTGTCTTTAGAGAAAGCAGATGCTTGAGTACTGTTTTCTCATCAACTTCGTCAAGCGAGAAAGACTGTAGCATCGTGGCCGATCTGACTGGGAACATAGCAGCAGCTGATATTTTATTTGCAAGACTTCTGCCAATGGATGAGAAATAACAGTTGAGCACGGATGCAATAGAGGCTGGGGTGGTGTGTTCAACACCATCAACTACGATACATTGTGGGCTCGAGGATTTAGTCTTGCGCGAAGACACCTCATTCACCGCCTTCCAGATCTTTCCTGAATCCCCTTTAGCCTCTAAAATCAAGTCACAATAATACTTGGATTTTGCTGCCTTGACTTCACGATTGACCCTATTTCTTAACTTTCTATAGCGAGCCCAGTGAAAAGCAGAATTGGTTTTCACGGCTTTACGATGGTGAAAATCACGATCCTTCATCACCTCACTGATTGTATCATTCAACCACGGGAGCGGAACACCTCGTATTCTTCGCCTTTTCACGGGCGCATGCAGGTCAGCTATTTCAGAAAACAAGTGATTCCAAATAAACACGGCGTCGTCGATGTCTTCCTCGTTTTCAATGATGTGCCATGGGACGTTATTCAAGTCCGCTAGGAAGGTGTTCGCATCAAAGTTTTTATAAGAGCGGTATTCAATTGTCTTCGGTGGTGCCTTAATTACACCTGCTTTTAAAACACAATAGACGAGGTAGTGATCACTCAGCGAAACAGGAACAACACCGGAGTCATTGATGCGGTGATCATTGTTCACTAAAATCACGTCAAGCAAGGATTGACAGGTTTCCGTCACTCGGGTGGCCTCAGTAATGAGTTGCGTAAGATCGTGTGAAGTTGCAAATTTTTAAGCTCTTGTTTTTCTTTCTTTCTTGAAAATGGCAGCATATTTGCATTTAGGTCGCCAAGAAGCACGAAATCACATTTTTCCAGGTTAACTTTCGTCATAGATATCTCCAAGTTTGAAATAAAGTTCGCAAAGTCAAAACCGGGGGCTCTATATGCACAACAAATCAATACTGGGCGACATTTAGTGCGCGATAGCTCAATCCATAGACATTCATTTGCGGCTGAGTAAAGATCATTCCTAACACGAAACGGCAAGCCTTCCTTTACATAGATTGCTACTCCACCAAAACCTTCTTTTGGCTCCAGACCTATCCAGGCGAATGCAATTATATCCTGGAATAATAACATGAGAGTCTTCATAGCAGTCATCCAGCCAAGTCTCACTGAGTGTAAGAATATCGAACGTTCTGTTATCCAAACCCTCCAGGCGCAGCGAGTCTGATTTGTTCCTCAAGCTTCGAATATTTAGATGAGCAAGCCTCAATCCTCGTGAACTCCTAACATCCTCCAAACTCCTATATCCAGGGTTGAGTTCAACATCTCCGGCAAGCGCTATTAGAGCCAAGGCTAGAGAGCCATGAAGTATAAGCTTGCACGTAATAAAGCCTTTCTGGAAAGCTCCGACTGCTTGGTGTTTTGCTGGACGCCGTGCCAGAGAGTGAAAAGATTGAATTTTAATCCTGCAAGCTTCTTGGGAAGCAAAATCACCCACCCTTTCGCTTACTTTCCATTAAACTGAAATATCCTGGCTTTTTTACGCCTTTTCGATTTGCTTCGTTTCATTTTATATTATTTTTGTGAAAGTTGAATTCTTTC